TTTCAAAGCCCCCTTTTCAACCAATCCCAACAAGTAATCCACTCCCGCCCATTTCTACTCCCTCTTATGCTTCACAAGTAACCCCAACCTATTCTCCATTTCATTCCGACCGATCATCTAATTCTCCCGATACTCCCCAAATTTCCCAAGAACTTGATAATTTTATCACCCTACAACAACAGCTAATACACCCTAACACACGCACAATCAATCAAATTTCATCCACAATAGAATCCTCAAACCCACCTACTCCTACACCCTCCTCAGCCTATACTGCATCATTAGCACAATCATCAACATCCACCGAATCATCAAATAGCACTAACCGAGCTTATCGCACTTTTAAAAGAAAATTCCCAAACCATCCATTCCCGACCAAACCAGGAACAGCCCGTGAATATATTAATCATCCACACCACACCAACACGAAAGATTTTCTAGCAATCACCTTACCTTCATTTCCACATTATACTTTAAACACACCTAATGACACTAACGACACACGTAGTTTTGTAGATGAACATGTTTTAATGCCTACACTTCATTGACAACATATTATCATTTTACTAATCCCCTTTGCCTCCCACTATCTAATACTCATAGCGATATAGAAAAGCATAAAGATATGCTATATAGACTCACCGCAACACTAACACCTAGACAATTTACTTATATAGGATATAAAAAATCACTAAAAACATTCACTGCACCCCGAGCTAACGAATTTACACTAGAATATTACGACCATAATATCATCCGAACTAATCATAACCAATTTTTAGATGACGACCGCTTCGCTAACCCACAACTAACAGAAAAATTCTTCATCAAAACATCATATGTATTCACACTCAATATTTTCGATAGAAAATATGATCACATCATTTCTGAAGCACTAACTGATATGCAAGCTTACGAAAGTTTTAAAGAAAAATTTCAATTATTTTCACTAACCTTTCACTTCCTTGCACCACATGAACGCGATTTGCACTGTTCACATGACATCGGTCTACGCACTAAACAAACTCACACATATACATACTATCGCTTCATACAAAGTCATTTTGATCTACATACTCCATCAAGACAACCACACCATCGTTTTCAATTTCTTAAGTCGAAGTACACCTCACCATTTTTTCTAAATTTCACCTATTGCATCAAAGATACTAACCTCCACGGCATCCTCCGCAATTATGACCCAATAACACAGATGTATATATTTTGTCCCATCACGAAGACTTTTAATGCTGAAGAATCCAGACCCTTCCTTATCCCACATGAATTTATCCAACCTATAGAAATCCCTATATTAGAATTTATTCATAATACTAAATACAATCACAAAATATATAATCTCATTCAAAACACACCTTATGAGTTTGCAGTTGGCACCGAAGAACTAAAAACTATTAAAGCACTTCAATTGTTTTGGCCACTGCTTCAAACTAAAAACATCATTCGCATACTAGCAAAGTTACTAACAAATTCCGACATGATACACGACATCTTCCCCACGATTTTTTCCCAGACGATTAACAGGTAAGTATAATTTCAAATATTCTTTACTAATAAATTTAAACTAATACTAACCATTCTTTACTCATGTTTCTTTTAGATCTTTAGTCCTCATACCACAATCATCTGCAAAAAACAGAAAAGAAAAATAAAAAATAAAAACTTGTTAAAATTATTCTAAACTTCATTAATATTTTCACAAAATAATCTGATAAAATTTATACAAAATGTAGTAAATTAATTTATAAATTATTCCCCCATAAAGCAGTAAATTTAAATACGATGAAAATTTATAACTTCCCCCAAAACTAGCAGTAAAATTGAAATTCTATGTAATAAATTAAGAAAATAAAAATGCAGTACTAACCTTTGATATTTTCATTCACTCGCACAAGAATTCTATCCAAACTCGCACAGCTCGCCCACGAAAAATTGTTTCAATAATGAATTTCAGTTTCAAGTTTTCACACTCAACAACTCTAACACACGATAACAAGTTTCAAACTTTCCTTTAACTCGGTTGGAAAGGAATTATATACTAAAACAAACTAACCAACGCAGCTTACTAAACACCACAAACCATAAAATAACAGCATGACTAAGAAAAGAAAACCAACGGTACCCAAACCGGATTAACCCAGTTTAAAACTGGATAATTTATTCTTTTGAAGACTATTACAAAGTCTAAGAAAGAAAAAATAAAACACAAAAAAGTCGAAAGACAAACCCATAACAAAAACAATTTGATTTTTGAAAAAAGGACACAACCAAAGGAACATAAGAAAGACCAACATAAACCCAACATAAAACGTTATCACATAACAGGACCTCTCAAAGAAACCGCACGAAATCATACTCCCACTCCTGGCCTAACCCACCAGAGAGGACGTCCTGAGCATGCTCTATAGCCGGCTTAACCCACCGTGCTACATCCACGCTTTGTGACCACACTTCTAATTTTAATAAGAGGTACTCAAGGGTGAGTAACTCTTCAAAATAACCAAACTAAAACAAAACGCTTTTGTGAAAACGACTAACCAAAATCAGGATTAAAAAATTGAATTAACATAATTTTACAAAATGTAAATCATATTTTGCAGTATGTAGATCAATACACAACAACAAAGACGAACGTACAAAGAAAAAATGACCCCACTACACTCGAACAAGAATGGCTAACCACAACCGATATGCCGTCCACAATCACAACTCAAAGGATTTAGAGTACGACTTGACTTCGCAGAAAAGGACTTCATTGAACTAGACCAATGACCACCTCGATGTTCAAGTATACGTACAGATCCGAGTTACAAGGCATCCCCTCCACGCACAATCTCCACGCCATTCCCAGACGAGGTTGAACACAAAACAAGTTTTCTACATAATACAGAGAAACCCGTCATAGCAAACCATTTTGAAATCAGATTGATTTCGTTGGGAAACAAAAGTCGTTGTCACAAGAAGACACAACGATTGATGCCCCTAACTCCAGCGTCCTGGAACTTCTCTAACAAGAGGAACCGGACAAGAATACGATGTTCGCCCAATACCAACGTTCATCATCCATCCTTTGAATTGCAGAAAGATAATTCTAAAAAACTCTGTAAAACCCGGATGGGTGGAACCTGATCCAAACTACATTTTATGATTGGATAAATTAGATATTTTACCACTGTAAAATATTTAATATTAACCAATCATGATCCATCTAACTAACAACCCATTTATTTGTAAGTGCTGAAATTACTTGTAATTTCAGCACCAGAGAGATTTGAATTTAACTTAGAAATTAGTTGTCTCTCCAAGAGAACTTCAGCCGCCGCAACAAACCAGTATACCCTAGATCTATTGAGCCTAGCAGAGACTAGTTAAACACCCTGAGACTAGAAAGTATAAGAGTAAGATTAGGATCGGTATTAGACTAAGAAGTTGCACGAATCTATCCGGCCGAAAATAAGATAGCGTGACGAGCAGACGGTGTACCCTATCCGAAATTACTCTATGAGTTAACCACATCGGTCATAACTCAACTAGTTAAAACTCTTCTACTCGTAAAAACTTAACTATTTGTCTGTGGGGGAGGATTTTTTAAATTCTTTTTTTTGAACTTTTCTTCATTTTTTCTGAAGCAAACACTACTACATAGGCCTTGAAAAGCAGTCGGAACATTTAAGGCTTCGTCGCACTCATACCAAATTTTTTTAAACATAATAAAATAAACCTAAAACATACTTAAAAAACAGCCACTATGATTTTCTAATGAACTTTTTAAGGTAGAGGCGTCCTAGCCTTATGCAAAACACCCATGACTCTGTGTGAAAGTTATTATATTTATTTACATCGTAAAACATCAAATGTGTTTATCTGTGTTTCTTTGATCAAAAAAACTTTTGGTTATAGTGTTTTTGGAGAAAATTCAAATATCAAAACGGAACTCGAATAATTTTATTGTTTTTTATCAGGAAAAATTTCTAGTCACATAGTTCTTGTATCGCAAAAATACCTCAATAGTGTGCCTGCCTAGTTTCTTTTTGGAAAGTTGATTAGACGGAACAGCTCAAAATATTTTGGGTGTGGGGGATACATATCAAGCAAAACTAGAATTATTCAGTTGGCTCAAATGGAACTTTCAGGGGAAACAAATCTTGCTTCATCTGACTTCGCTGCGCTTAGTTGTGCTTGTGAATAAGTGTTTGTCGCTTTTTGAGAACGTCCTGGTCTGTTTGGTTCTTATTGTGCTTGATATATTCTAAACCTTCTTCAAGTGTATTCAGAATGAAAACGAAGGTCGCGCAAATAATGGAGTACAACTTATAAATTTCAATTCAGGTGAAAAAATTAGCCAAAGTTTAGCTCAGGAAATCAATGGCTCTTAGGTGATGTAAAAAAGAATCATCAAAAATGGCTAGGAAGAATTCGATTTTTTTTTGAAAGAAACAAAGCCATACAGAGATTGATAATTCCGTCATTTTCTTCGAAACTCTGAGCGCTAATAGTAGGACTTGAAATTCAATGTTGATTTTAGTATGAATCTATTAGGCCAAAATTAGACAGTCCCGCACTGGAGTTTCATGGGAAATAATCAATTATAATGGATTGTATCGGCAAAAAAACTTAACCCATATAATCGATTTTCATGACCCATCCAACCATGAAAATGTACTAATACTATGTGTAACGTACTAACGAGGCGTTGATCAAAAATTACTCTATGATATCAGCACGGCCGGCTTATATCACTTTTAGAGACGTTTTTATTTGGTTAACTTAATAACTTCGACTGTGAATGAACTCATAGTCTTGAACGAATTGAAAAAAAATCAACAATCTATTTGCTGTGAGTTTCTATCAGAATTTTCACTAATGTTCATTCAAATAGACAAGACGACAGTCTTGCAGACAGGGCATGAAATTCGTTCTTGAAATCGAGAAAAAAATCTATTTGAGCTCTTTGTTTGTTAATGTACAAGGGATCTACTTGCCTGGTAACTGTGCCCTAGTTTTTTGAGTTCATCCGCAGCAGCCATGGTGTACCACTTGCCCCAACTTGGTTTGCCGTATGATTTAAGGAGAAAGCTGCGGTACTGAAGATATTGCTCATTACTTCTGAACGGGTTCACCCATTTTTCCAAGTTATTTTTCCACAAACAGGTTTCATCAATACCAAACTGGCAGTCCATTACCCCGTCCCCAATTTGGGATTTAGAAATATTCAGATTAAACTGGCCCTCATCGTAATCCACTCCAGCCATGGGACAGAAATAAGTATCCGGATTGCCTGTTTCTAGCCCTCGCATGCTTTCGTTGCATGAGTCGAGAAACTGATCCGATTTGTCGCGGGGACAGTCGTCATAACCGTCGCAGAGAAACGCCCGTGGTATTATAGTGTCGCTGTGACAGCACACAAAGTCTTTGCTGTGGTCAACGCGCGTACATATTTGAGGATTTTCGTCACTTCCGTCATCGCAGTCGAACTTGCCATCACACCTTAAAGAAGCAAAAGTTTCAATTGAAAGTTATATACATTGATTTATTAGATGTTTTTATCGGAGTTCTAGAACAGATTTCATGGAATAGTTGCAAATTAATACTTGTTTGCAGACGAGGAAACTTTCTCAATTCAAAATAAATCCACAAAGAGGCACACTGTTTCTTCAAAGAAATTTTTAACTCCTATGTTGATTGATTATCTGGCTGCTAAGATAATACATCTCGAGGTAATTTTACAAAATGAGTAGTGTTGGAACCTCAATTTGGGGTTGATGCATTTTCCACTCTTGCACTCGTAGGTAGAAGAGGGACAAGTGCCACACAAATCAGTTGACTCATCCGACCCGTCAAGACAGTCCAAAATGCCGTCACACATGTCTGCTTGAGACACACAGGAGCCGTCCTCACACTCAAACTGATTGTTAGGGGATACCCTCAAACGGATGTCCGAGGGATCGGCTCCAATTACGAGATCCAATGGCTCAACCTGGTCACTTCGATTGCTAGTTGATTCGTCAGTTTGCTCTTTCAATCCGAGATCGAATCTATCAGCGTGGCATTTTCCAATGAGGTCTGTGTTTTTTTCTTCACCAGCAACTTGTGTGACAAGTTTGTAATAAGCGAACCGAAGTCCAATGGCTTCCATTTTGGAGAACGCGAATGCTTTCTGGAGACCATCAACGTACGGAGAAGTCTTGGCATCTTCCAAATTTTCTTCCAAGCTGATTATCTTTGAATATTTGAGTTTGTTGGAGTTGCAAATGGTGACAGCTGGGAAGTTGAGCTGGCGTCTGTGCAGCACTTGCAGGTTGACAGTGATTGGATGGCTGCTGACATCTTGCCACATGGTCCCTATCTGCCAGAGAAGGAGACAGGCACTGGTGGTGACAGCTGCCAGCCAGAACAGCTTCCGCTTGAAGTTGGTCGTCCCTATCACCCGAGGAACCCCGTGGGCACTGCAGTCTAGCAGCCACGCACGCACAATCCACAGGAAAGACACCATCTCTTCACTGTTGGTGGACAGAGCCGCCACTTCATTTTCCATTTTAACTACTTCTTTAGTATTTTCAGTAAGGATCGTTCTGTTTTGTGATTTAAAACTACGGTTTTTAATGATCCAATTTATATAGAAAGCAGCATCTCTCTTTCCTTTGAGACTGAATATAAGCCTCATGATTATTCATAGTGGTTTAAAGCTTAGCTATCTTCTTCAGATAATTAGATCTAAATATTCGATGACCAGCCAAACGATATTCTGATTTCTGATTCAGTTTTTGAAATGAGAAAAAAGTGTGGAAAGTCTTTGTTCCTGTTCACAATCGGGCAGCTTAGTGGAAATTACCCAAATCTAGAGTACACTTTTTAAACTATTTAAAATTCCCGATTTCTCCCGTTTAAAAAGAACAAGACTGCTAGTATCAGGGCAATGCCTGGCTCATATCCACTCACCTCGCCCACCTTTTGAGTTTATTTTACTTCTACAATTGTTTCATGTGTTTTTGACTGAATGCGTAATGTTATGAAGTAATGTAAGAAGAACGATCTTTTGCACAATAGTTAGTTCCTTTACAATATAACATTTCATTGCATTATGACAACGTTCAGATAGTTTTCTGAACTTGAAACCAAAAAGTGGGTAAAAGAGAAAAACCTGAAGCCTTCAATGTTTTGACTGCCCTTCATTGGCTTGGAAACAGTTTTTGGAAACATCAAGTTACAATATTTTAAAAAGTTTCAAAGAAAATCTTTGAAAAAACTTTGGTTTTGTTTTCTGAAATTTTTTATTTGTATTATAATTTTGAAACTATATGAAAATATACATTAAAAATTTAAATATATATTTAAAATTTGTATGTTACTATAAATTAATAGAAATTTTAGGAAAATCGCATATTTTGATAAGTTCAAATTCAAGATTGGCTCAACTGAGCTAATGAAATAAAACATTTGAAACTTTTTTTTGAATCTGCTTACAATGTGTGTGATTCTTTGTGTGAGAGTTCTCATTATTCTTTAATAGGGTATGATTTCCTCCAAATGCCTCGAGGATATTGAATATCTGATTCGCAGGAAAGTATAAAGGATTTAATGGCTACCCCTAAAAAAGAGTACTAACACCCAGATGCCATCGTTCTGCAGCATTTCTGGTTCGAACTGAGTCATAATCTGCTCCCTAGAAATGGTTTCATCAACTAAATGAAGAAGGGTCTTGCAGCTATTTTTCCTGTGGTGTTCCTCATCAGATAACATTATTGAAAATAAGAAGCAAGCTCGTTCAGTTTTTCACTAACTCTACCGTCCAGGTCGAAGCGATCTGCATTTCTTTCTATTTCTTCACTGAACGTGGTCAAATGCTAGTTCAATTATCTCAAGAAAAGAACGCTCGTGAAAGAGCCTTAGTGCCAAGTTCAATTGGTGTCTGCTTTCAAATAGGCGATTGAGTACAACCTAAATAATTGTACGACTGAAGGTTTGAGTAGGGTTAATGTAGCAACTAATCAGCTGGGTTGAGAGAAAATGGGAAATGTCGGAAATTAGCACTGCTTTTGAAACCAAAGAGACTGTAGCTGCTCCTTTTGAGTTAGCTCTGACAAACCGTTCAAGAAATTCTTGTAGGTAGGCTCAAATTTTTTGGGGAGCAGATCATATATGCATGGCGGGTAGAAACCACCTATCTGTGTATGAAAATACACACAGTTGGTTAAACTACGTCAGATATATTATGAAGGTTCCATTGTAAAGCCAGAGCTCTGTGTGCAGTTGGAGAAAGTTTAGATTGTCGCGATTGCCAAAAAGGGCTATTTCCGTATCAGTAGTCATGAGAACAAGTCAACCATCATGAGCACAAATATTTCATCATTTACCTCAAAAAATGAAGCAATGAGCTTCCTTTGGTACCATTTTTGTCCAGTTGAGCTTTTTTCAGAAACGTAGCTGTTTCCGCTAGCTAGTTCAAAGTCATTCTTTCAGCTCTTTGAGGCTGAGAGTATCAGTAGTTAGCAACATAATTCAATTCAAACAGTCGGGCTATACAAAATTTCGACGAAACTTTTTATATTACTCGGAACAAACATCGGAACATACTCGGAAGTTTGTCATCCGAAAAATTTCTCAAGAAATTTTTCAAGAAGTTCAAAAAATCTATAACCTTAATTTTTTTTTTGAGAATGTGTGGAATGCTTAAAGAAAGTAGTTTTCCATGGAACTCGTTCCTTGCGGGTGAGTCCATTTGTAAACAGAAAAACCTAAATCCATGAAACTGACAACTCCCCTTCTTGGTCGTTTGTAAAAAAAAGATAGCGATGCAAAAGAACAGCATTCTTGGGAGCTTGTTTTCGCCATTCAAAGTGAGAGATGGAAAAGTGAAAATGTGTGGATCATCTTAAAGACCGTGTGTGTGGATGAATTTCAGGATTTTTTAAGGAGCCTGTCTATGGATGATACTCCATAGACATTAAACTGCAGTAGGAACATTCGTGACGTGACCTTGATACTAGCAGTCTTGCTAAACTTACGTTAGCAACAGATGAGAGGATAAAAATTTTCTTGTAATTTCAAAATTTGGTTCATGACTTTTTGTTTTCAAAAATTGAACGCTTAATTTCTAGCTTGTTTCGACTATTTTTGAAACAGTTTTTTTTTCTCCAGACGATTTTCGATTTTTTAATTAGCTCAATTTAGCAAATTTTTGTAATACCATTGTAAACGTATTGCTGCCCTGAGCTAACATTTAAAAACAAATTTTATCTGAAATTAGTTTTCTTAAACTTATGAGTTTTAGGAGATTGCCGATTTGCCTATTTTTGGACACATGATGCGTCAATATATTTCTTGCTATAATAACGCGCGTGCTGTAAGCTTTGTGCAAAAATTCATTCATTTTGTTCGAAGCAAACACTTGTCCATAGACCTTAAAAGGCATTGGGATTTATATAATCTAATATATAAAAGGCACTGGGATTTATATAATAATAATAATAATAATAATAATTGTAGTTCCTGCGAATCGCAGAGGAGCTATCAGTAGGCCTTAACAGTCCTGTCGAGGATAGTCCATTTGTATTATCTCCCCACATTCCAGACATTGTTATTTTTTTGCGACTCAAGGCCGTTTTTTTCGCGTCTAGAACTTTTACGTGGTACCACTATTGCAGCCAAATTTGGTCAGGTTGTGGTAGACCTGAAGGTGGAGGTCAAGTGAGAGCTTGTCCTCACACTCTATCATTGCCATGGCATGGGATCGAATAGACGATCTGACGATTTCGAAGTGAACGCCTTACCACTGTGCTAAGTGCCTCTAATAAACTAAGTTATATAAACTAAGGGCTTCAGCCAAACACGAGCAGTCTCCTTTTTGTTTCACTTTGCCTAAATTTTTGATTAAAATGAAACGGAGTTATGAAATAGTATATCAGAACGTCAACAATCTTAGCAGCCTAGCTTGGCTTTTATAATCACATATTTGCTTCGCCCGTACCCAGTCAAAAACTTCAGAATGATTTTGTCAAATTCTGCAAGAAAAAAATCATATCAGTGCGATAGGTAATATCTGTGAACGTGTTTGTAAAACGTGTTCGTTAAATTTCCGAAGCTTATAAATCTAAGCAACAGTGTTTTTTTCTCTTCTAAGGAGACTAAAGAAATGTCTGATTTGTATAAACAGAAACCTGGTACCACAAAAAAGAAAAAAGATTAGGAGAAAAATTGTGGTAACTAAAGATAAATCTAAAAAAGCAAAAAGCAGGACTAAGTAAAAGAAATAACCCCGCTGGATATATTTGATACGTCAAAATACGAAGCCCTTAATTTTTCACCACCATCCGAATTTGATTTTAGGGTTTGAGGTCACTGGCATTGGGTTGCGAGTAGTGATCCTTTGGATAGAGCAAAAAGTCATCCATTGGACAATCTCTGGGGTTTTCTTCTTTAGAAGGTGCATCTTTCTTTTGCTGCTAAATTTAACGGAATGTTAATACATTGAGCAATGGGTTCCGAAATTACTGAAATTGTCAATGGACCGGGACGCAGTTTGCCTTTGAACTTGGGATCTGATTTACGCAACAAAAATCTGTTGTTTAGGGTGACGGCATGGCCTGAGGAGTTCATGGTCGTTTTTTGATGAGGTTAAAGTAAGGCTCATCGTTTTTCCGATTTTTGACTTTTTTTCTCTGAAAATTAGTATATTTCCTGCAGCTTTTTCCTGTTCAGGTAGCCGCCTTCTTCTTCATCCTACCAGGTGTAAATTCTGCTCCTTGAAAGAATAGAACTTCCTTCATCTAAATGATTATCATGTCAAGTCAATTTTCTTCGAGCCTGTTTAGCAGTCCGGTTGAACAGTCTTTCATAAGAAGTGTACTCGGTGTTTCATTGTTTTGTAATGCTCAAATTGCAGATGACGAATCTAATATCGGTTGAGGTAATGCGAACAACATAGACAGTTATTTAGCTTAAAAGGTATTACAAATTTTTCTACAAATTCATTTCATCTATGCTCTCCCACTGTACAATAAAAAAGTTCAAAATTATGTTTTTCAAAGAAATTAATTCTTTTTTCGAATGATTTGAAGCCAGAGGATAAGAACATGACACAACATTTTGACCTTTTCTAGGGAACCTAATTAAATGACCAAAATTACTGTTTAAAAAGAGATAACTGAAAGTGAACTTTTATTCTGTGGGTTTTTCTAATTAACCATTTTTTCCAAGTAAATTTCGTGAATTGATCGATATCTTATAGGGTATATTTTTTCGTTCCCCAAATGCCCTCCAACGGTCCAGCAAAGTGAAAATTCTGTGCTTTATTGGAAATTGATAAGTCAGGAAGTTTAGTCGGGTATTCCGTTCCCAACAAGACTTTGAGAATCTTACTGGATCTTAGATGTTGGTGACCAGATTTACTCAGCTAGAAGTTTCACTCGAATAATAATTAAAGCGCCTCGTTTATCATGGAGTCGAAGCCTGCATGTATAGCTGCCAGGACAAATAGTTTGATGTCCAGGAAGAGCAGCACATCCTTCACCTGAAGATATTTTCCGTAGTTTTTTTGTATGTCCCATGAACTCACAATAGTCTGCCGTTCTTAATTGTCCAAATTAAAACCCAAATTAATTTGTCGCTTTTGGCCGTTGTTTGGAGCAATTTCCTCGATCAGTGATTTTCTGGGTTAACTGAGAGTTGGGTAATGAGAGATCAGACTTATAAAAATTTTAAAAACAAGGTGGTCGTCGGTAAAAATTCTTTTTTGAAATTCAATGTTTTTTATCTTCAACTGAGACAACGAAAAGAGGGTTCAGGGAGTATGTGTTTCGAAAATCGACTTTGCTCTGTGGATTTTTGGATTGTTGAAATGGAAGTTTTGTTAGATATAAAAAACTTAAAAGTGGTGCGTCTGAGAAGTCATTTTTTATATAACTGAAATTGGAGTTGTCTACTGGTAAAAAATAAGGTACAATTTTGTGCCCAAATGTAGAATTGCTACAAAGTTTGTATAAGGAGCAAAACAAATCATAATAGCAGTATCAAGTTTAGATTTGAAAAATGCTATCGAGCAGGTTCCGGTCTTTCGAACAAACATATGCCAGCGACGCCCTATTTAAAAATAATTTTTTAAGCATGATCGTAATCACTGTTTCATGACTTTTACCAAGTTTTGCCAAATGCAGTCAAATTAATTTTTTCTGATTTTAGTTTTTTGAAAGTTAGGGTATGGACGTTGTGCCAATAGTAGACTGACTCTTAATTCAACAGAAGTCAGGAAAAAAACAAGCGTTGACATATTACGTACAATTTTCACATATTAGTTTATCGACCCAAAAAATGAACAGTGTGGCAGAGAGGTTTTTTGCACCAGCTTTACCGACCACAAGTTTCACCCCATTTTTGGATATTTTGAATTGCATTTTATTAAGAGTTACTGTAAGAATGCACGTTTTTCGTTATAACTATCATGTTGTTTTATCCAAGGTTGCGCGTGTATTAGTAACAATTGTTTTGTGTTTTTCCATTGATCTTTAAAAAGTTATTAAAATTTCCTTGCAAAATTCAGTGAATAGCATGCTTTTTGAAAGTGAAAACTTGGCTCTTCGGAACTCGTTTGGCTGATTGCTGAATTCATATAAGCCAGTTAAAGCTTTTTAAGTACCTGTGGCTTTTGCACCTATTACGGTAAAGTTGCATTGGTTACTCGTTTGAATTAGCTGTAAACGTTTTATAGGTCTGACTTACTGAACTATATTTGTCCATTCAGAAATTCTGGCAATTGCAAAGCTACGTTTTCACGGTTATTCGATGTTTGATACTTATTTTTAAATTTTTGATCATTTAAAACATTGGGGTCATGAGTAATTTTAGATAGCCCGTCCTTTTTTTGTAATTACGATAGGGTTAATAAAACAACCTTTGTGGCATTTTCTAATCTTACGATGTGACGTTCGTTGTCCATTCTCTTGAGTTTTTTTTTACCTTGCCAGTAAATGGAAGATAACTATTCTGCTTTTTGCTTAGACCAATTTAGAAGGTGAAAGAAAGTGTGTAATCTTTCAATCACTTGGCTCTTACCAGTTCTAATAATTAGATATTTGAAACTTATGAAAATATTGGTGTGAGAAAACTGTTCTGTTCGTCTTCTATCCTCAGTTTAAGAAAAATGTCATTTCCCAAAGTTCCTTGCCAGTCCTCCGAAAATCAGCAACAGTGATTCTTCAGAAAAATTAGCTATTGAGCGGAGTTCTAGTTTTTGACCTTGATTTTCCCCATCATGTTGATTTTGCCATCCCTAAAATTGCAATATATTTTTTTTCTTCACTTTTCCTCAAGGTGTTTTTTCGGATTTGAAAGTCTGAGGTTTAGCCCGTGAAGGACGTTCTGTTTGATGAAGCTGGCGTGGTTTGCTGAGTCAACTGGTTTTTTCTTTTTTTTAAGGTAATTTTCCAACCCATTTCTATGTTAAGAAGCTTTTTTGCTTCTAATGCGTTTTGATCAGATACAATTCTTACACTGAGTTCAGAATAATTATCATCGACGCTCTGAGCGTTCTCGTTCCTCATCGATCACTCCATTTATTGATCACAATACTTGCTCCTCGTTGCACAGTAATTTCAACGCGTTGTATGTACAATTATTGTTTTGTTCAGTTTCTTGCACAATTTTTATAGAGAATCGTTTGTTTCTTGGTTTGAAAAGTTTGGCAAAAAGTCCTAGATATATAATTTATACATATGATTTTTTAGATAGACAGAAAACCGAGTGACCCTTTGTAATTGAAATTCCATACTTCATGCTTGAATTGCTCCCAATTTTGGGACTGTGTTCATTTTTGCATTAACATTTTTAACTTTCAAAATCATAACTCGACCAGCTGGTCGTCAGTCTTGTCAAATCTTTCAGTTTCTAATAATTAAATAGCCATTCTAGTCTATTAGAGCCTGAAAAAGCGCTTCCTTATAGTGGTAGAGAGAAGTTTCAAATGGGTCTCACTCTTCTGCATATTGCTAATGAGAACATCTCTTATTTGTACTGCTGCATCGTTCTCTCGGATATTGCTCGTGCTTGTTATGTCTTTCAATGCTCCACAGGACTGCTCAGAGGACTTCCTGTCTCTCTATGCTCGATTTATGAGATGAAACTTCTCAAATTTTGGATTAGTAGATTTGTTAAAAGCAGAGTGTAGATATTCCATGAAATTTTCAAATTATTTTGCTAAGTTTTTATTACTCTAGGTATGTTCTGAGCAAAGACTTTTTCTTCGAGGGTTAATAAAAGATGGAGCGCAACTTTTTGGGAGTTTCTGCCCTTCCCATCCCATTGAACCTTTTCTTTTTTTTACCTTATCTTCTTTTCCTCTGCAGATTGGTATATTTTCATAGCGATCTTGTTCATTTTTCCCGACTGACTCTTTATCAGTCCAGCTCATCACCTGGCGCTTGCTCCAAGATTGGAGTTTGAGTTACTGGGATCTCTGGTCCGCTAAGAATGTCGATGTACTGTTTTTTTGCAATCATCGCCACTTGAAATTGGTCACTCCGCTGGGTCCAGAAAATCGGCTGCTCCGAGATGTAGTTTGGCCAAAAAAGAATTTTTCACAAGTTCGGTTGATTTGACTGCACTATAAAAACATGTTAAGATGTTCTAACTTACGATGTACGAACTATCCACACTAAACTATAAATTATAACAAATAAGAAAGGCACTGAAGTGAACGAACTGTCTGTTCCTAAGCAAAAACGAACAGTGAAAAATCGACCGTTGGTTGACAGGTATCTAATCAATACTGGTCATAAGTATAAAGTGTTAAAACAAATCCCGACAGAGTCCAAGGCCTCTGGGGAAAAAAGGGCATTCGCCCTTCTTCTAATTACGCTTGTGATTTCTTTTGAATACTTTTGAACTATTCAAAATCGATTTAAGTATTTAAATATGTCTTTTTCACTAAAAAAAATCAAAACGATTTTGTTTTTTGCTTGTTGATTATTGAATTTTCAATTATAAGGAAAAATATTGAAAACTCGCGATGCCTATTTTTTTCTACCTACCGAACCGGGTTTGGTTCTTTTAGAATCAAACATTTGCGTGGGTAATGTCTTCATTCGATGATTGTCTTCATTAGTAAAATTGGTATTTTTCCGCTCTTTGAATAACTTGTTTCAAAATTGTGGTTCAAATCTCGCTATCCGCAAAACTCTAAAAATATTGAGAACTGAGCGCAATTGGAACCAAGGGCGGATGTTGGCCTTTCTGTAAGAGGTATTTTAAAAAAAAATGTCAAAAAAATTTTCGACATGTTTTTAAGTCGACCAAATAAATTTTCTGAGCTGTTCCAAATCACTTTAAACTTTAAAGACCATGTTTAGCCCAGTTTTCTGCGTCACAGGCAAATTTTTTGGGGAAAAAAGGCCATAAAAGACGCTTTGAGGCTTTTTTTGAAATTTTTTGATCAGTTCAACACCGCTAAGAAAAGTATCGCTAAAAAGTATGATTTGAATGTTTATGGAAATCATCATTTTCCTCAAATTTCAAATTTCCTCAAATTACCTTTCATGTAGACGTTAGCAACACTAAATTTCGAGTCGGCAGGGGGTCGAATCCCTGAGGGATGGAAGGGCGTCTGGCCCAGCCATTCACCCTTCCCCCCGCTCTTCCGCCCCTCTAATTCCGCTACTGCATGAAACGTTTTGGCGTTTACTCACGAAATTATTTTAAAAAATCAAAATCTTGGCATTTACTTACGAAAGTGTTTAAGAAACTCAAAAACTCAAAAACTTTTCTGTATCCTGGATCACAGTTTAAGAGATCGTTCTTTTAGCGGTGTCATGTCTTTTTTGCGTAATCGCGCCGCAATTGCTCTCTTTCTTTCGCAAAACTTTAATAAGTTAAATCAAATTATAAATTAGGCTGCAAAAACAATTTCATTCATAATTGACAAAAAGTTTTCAATGTTAAGTCTTCATACGATTGAACAAAAATTCTTTCAACCATTCCCGAGTTTTCGCCACATTTTGGCTGTACAAATCGAGTTGCTCGATGAACTTTTGCTTTATTTGTGTTTCCATGTCAACACATGTAGATAAATTTTTGGATGAAAGAAACTGGAAAAATTGGTTCAGTTTGTCAAGTTCAGTTTGGGCTGTGATAAAAGAGGCCACTTGAAGGATGACTGGGCAAAATTGGCTGCTGTTGAAGACATTCTGAAGAAACCTAAAGCAGATACAAACTGGAATGAAACTGCGCGTATCAGGGCAAAACCCTGATTGTCCCGACTGCCTTTTAAAGTCTTTGGAGCGTAATGAAAAATAACGAAACTTTTTTTAATTCAAGGTTTTTCGTAAAAATCATCCCGCCACACGCCATATAAAGTACAAAGTGACAGATTTTGCTCCTAGTAACAAATCAATTATGGCAAATAAGCTTCTTTCAACCAATTTGAAACGATTTCTAAGACGGATTAAATCTCCTTATAAGCTCAAAATATAATAGAATTAAGAAAAAGAATTCAAACTCTGATTTACAGATTGAGTTCTTTATATCAGATTTAGCTAGCAATGAAAACAACTTTTCCGAAGTTCATATTGTTTTTCTGCAAACATTAGGATGAAATAGATTACGCATGGAAAATCTAACCACCTTGTTAGTTTGAATGAGCTATCAACCTCAGAATCAGTACGTTACTTTCTGAAAAAAAATCCAAAAAAAAACGGTTACATTTTCAAAATTTGGACACTTTCTAGGCCATATTAATTTCTAAAAGCAGGGCATATCCATTTGCGCAGGGAAGATTTGCATAAATTTTTTGTCTTTCAGTTCAACACTTATTATTCTATTTGGCAGGGTAGTTTTTGAGAAAAGTAAAAAAGTTTAAAGAACTAACCAATATGTCAGAATTTGGGCTTGTTTGAGGGCATAATTTTTCCCAGCAAGTTTAGGGAATAGCCGATTGAGAAGGGGATATCCCCATTATTGGTTCTTTTGATCGAAACCTTCATCTCAGATTTTTGCAATTTATATTTGAAAAAAAAAGAAAAAATTCGAAAGAATTGGATCAAAAATTGCGCTACTGAAACTTTCGAAGGTCGCAGAATGAAAAGAGATTGGCGGAATATTAAGACACGTAGAAAGGCTGCCAGTTTTTCAATTAGTACCCTTTTTTGAAAATTGGTACAGCAGTTTTCGAGAAAAACTGAAATTTCAGCTGAATTGCAAAAGGTTTCAGAAAGCGTTGCAAAAAAAAAAAACTAACAAATCCCGTACATTTTCATAAATTTCACTAGCCATGAAAAAAGCAGCAAAAAATAATCATAAATTGCCGCTGTTTAAATAGTTGTAATTATGATTAAATTGAAATCTGACAAAATTTCTACCAAATCAGCACTTTTATTTGCAACTTAAGTTGGAAAAACTCTTAGTAATAGTACACCACACTTCGCTTGTGTAAATAAGCAGCCTCTGGACAAAAATGCTAGGATAGACCTAATGTTTAGTTGATGATGACGATTAAAAAAAAACAAGTATACTGGCAATCTTTTTCAAGGTTAAAGCTCATCAACGAAAAAAGACCAGCATACGAACTATAATGAACTAATCAAATTTTTAATTTACACGGAACGTTTCTGGTACCTTCATCAAAATGTTTACAAATGTTTCTGGATTGAAAAAATAATGCTTCAGTTTCAAACGAAAACCGAAGCCAACCTTTCTGTTTCATAACTAATCAAAATTACCCTGGATCCTGTGGGTATCCCTGGTTGAGGTTGCTAAGGTGATCGAGGGTTAGTAGCACACTTTGAGGGTAGACGCAGAGACCACTGATCAGGAGAACTGCCTCTGGTTCAGAAAGTTGCAACTCATTCCTTTTTAACTTTTCCCACAGTCTAAACGCTTCAAGTTTAATTTCAAAATTAGGAAACCCAGAACTTTTGGTTGTTAGCAGAAAGCAAACGTCCCACGCTCAAAATTGAAGTACACTTTTTAGAAAAATTTAGTGCTTTTGAAAATTTGAGAAAAATATAACAGCAAAAAAAGTCAGAGCCTTCTACCTTAGTCATTTATTATTGACCTGAGGTTCAAACGTCACATTCATACCGTATATTGGCGTTTACATCATTGTCGTAAGTCATGGCTAGTCCAGTGATGATGCTGTTCTTTAAAGTGGAACTGAAGTGACTTCTCTCTGTGGTTAACAATTGGAGCCAGTCCTCCCACACGTCGAGAGAGGACGAGGAAAGAGCGGTTTGGATCGCAGTCGAGTGATGCTCCAGAGAAAGAAACCACCTGTCATTTGGAACAATTTTTGTCATGTTTTGAAGAATTTGAGACTTCAGATGTCATTCAAATTTTTAAAATCACAAAACAAATTACACTACAATTTTTTGGGAAATATTATTTCTATTTGAATGACCGAATAAAAGTTTTTCCATTAATAGATGTGCTTATAACCGTACTGTACGTACGTTAGATAAGCTCATAAGCTCAAAACCGAACCCAACCTTTCTGTTTCATAACTAATCAAAGTTACCCTGGATCCTGATGGTAGGATTTTTAAAGCTAGCATCTGAATTACTAGCCTGATTTTGTCTTCTTTCGAGTGTGATGTTTTGTAATCTTCCATGAGAAACTCGAGGAACACCCTCATTCTGCGATGACATGACATCGAGTTTGATCCACTCTCGAAGAAACAGGTCCACTTAGACACCACAGACTGACACGCCCACCTGGAACACACATTCGTGACAGCAAATATTGATTATTGTGAGCAAGCTTTATTATGAAAAAAACCATAGAACATTCGTGTCATGAAAAAATTGATATTTATGAGAAATTTTCATTTTAAAAAACCATTAAAGTGACCGGCTAAGTGACTGTCGTCACTTGGGACTTTGCTTTCTTAGCAAACGCGTCATCTATGGAAATTAGTTGTTGAACTGTGAGTACGTTTTGTATGAGTTGGATGAAGACAGAGAAGAGAAGTCGATATCTAAGTCACACAGTTTGTACATCGAAGACCAGATCGGACGATAGAATCTCTGAAACATAATAATAAATCAAGTTTAATTAATTGCAGTCCTCATTCAAAGACCAGCAAACCCCAATTCGGAATATGAGTTTCACAATTTTTTCTACCAATTTCTGCGTACCAAGAGTCGGCGTACCAAATTTCATAATAATCGGCAAATGTGAACAAAAGTTTGCAGGTTGGGGGAAGCGAAGGAAAAAGAGCCACAACTTGTGCTCGTGCTTGTTGAAATAATTTGCTCGAATTCTGTTACCCCGAACTTAGTAACACTGATGAATTTAAGTTTTTTCCCACCTTGATAAGAGAGGGCATCGTGGAATGGAACAGAGTCACGGAAGCGTGTGTAAGTTGCCCCACCACTTCCCAGCCGAGGGGGTGATACTCGCTCCCCCCGTAGTCTACCAGGCCGAACAGAATGTGAGCAGGTAGACGACTGTTCCTGTCAACAAAATGGCTCGCCCAAGGCTACTAACAACTTAAAAGCGAAGTACACGCGGATAAATATTATAACAAATATAACTAGTTGTTGTCCTACTGATTTCGGCGCACTACCATGCTCTTAAATGGAATATCCAATTTTCTGTTTATTTCCCTAGAACAAAAAGTTGCTTCGGACCTGATTCAAAAAGCTTGGAGCACAGATGATCTGAATTTACGCAGCTTCTAGAAATATTAACTAAACGTGCGCACCAACTGCAAACCGGAACACTTAAAAGTCTAAAAAAACTTGGCCACGTATGTTTCAACTGAAAGCTTGCTTTGTGTCAAACCTTAAAACGGGAAAACTACTATGAAGAATAATTGGTTGATTTGGAATACTAGTTTGAACACTCACTGTACAAGAATATAGGCACTGCATAGCAGAGAGTATCTCGTTTTCACATCTGAGAGCACCTAAAAAACCAAGCCTGCGATTAAATCAAATCATTTGAAAATGAAAAAAACTTCAAAAAATTAGCCCAAAAATGATATTTTGGCCTGTTTTTCAATTAAATGTTTATATGTTAAGTTTTTTTTTCTGCAAACTAAGGTGTTTATAGTGTTTTTTAAGAATTCGGAAAATCAAGTAGGTCGAACAAAAAAGTAAGTTTACAAAACTTTCAAATTTTTTGTTGAAGACCCCACTCCCACGCAAAAAAAAACCAATGAGCAAGATCGTGCGGATGACCATGGCAAATATACTCGGTGAAAAAAAAGCATTGTAAATTTTCCATTTTTAATTCAAAATTAGAAGAATGGGCATATTTTTTTATGTAAGGTACAGTTTAAACTCACAGGTGTTGTGGAGTAATTGAGCAGGCGTTTAGATAGTTCTGCCCACTGGGAATGAGGATAGTTGGCCAGGAAGTAGGGGGTGTCTTCTGATGGAGAGTGGGAGAGGGGAAGATGACCTCTGCCAATACTGCTCGGATGGGCTGAAAAGTTTACAGATCATAACTGTTATGCATTAAACTATCACTTTCACATTACCCTACAAAAGGACAAAAACCGGTTCAGCAGTTATTACCCTTTTAAGTGGACCCTTTCTCTAGATTTGTTCATGAATAAACCATTCTATAGACAGATTGTGTTAAGCAGGCACATTACAAAATGTGTATTTTTCCTTCTTGAAATCTAATTGAAGATTGGACTTAAATACTTAAACGTATTGTATTGTTTCGTTGTTAAAATCCGAAAAAATAGGAACTCACTTTCAGTGGGGAATCGAAGCCACATAAATTGTCCGTCAGCCATTTCTGGCTCATACCTCGTAGCTCTGGCAACCCCGACGAAGTGGACAGGCACAAGGAGTACAGTGAAGAAGTTCAGCTGAAGTTCTGTTTCAGATGATGGAGACTCTAGTTCGTGAGGAGGTGCTGTTTTGGATGTGATTTCGCTCTGGGAAATGATAACTTCTCCGAAAGCGCTGGAAAAAAACGATGTTTCAAATTTAGTTAACACTATACGTATCTTTCTTTTACCTCTTTTTCCGACAAAAAATTATGATAGATCACCACGATATGTTTGAACATATATATATTCCAAAAAAAAATTATGGAAATTTTTCAAGTATGGAAACAATATAACAAAGAAATGTTCTTCATAAAGAAGTTATAGGTTTGAAAAGGCAAGAAATCTATCAGACATTGAAATTAAGTGGGAACAATGATTACTTTGTTTTGAGAGTGATTTCTGGAACCCCCTCGTACTTTGCCCATCTGAAGAAAAATTCACGGGTGGAGATCGCAAATCGGTTTGTATTCGACAACTGAAGCACACCAATTTATGACAACAATGCATTGTTTGAAAAGTGTTTGTAATGATTTCAATACTGTTTATTTTTATAATTGTATTTTAGTTCAGTTTTTTCTCCTTTTTATTGACTAGTTTTCACAAAAAACTTGTCCATTTTTTACCAACTGGCTCAAGTTGTTTTGAAAAATATCAAAAATGCTTTCAAGAATTGAGTAGAAAAATTTATTGAAAACTCATCGCAGTTAATGCTGTATTTTTGCGTGTTTTGCGCTGGAAAAATGAGCTGCTTTGCTCGAATGAAAGGTTTTCTTGTAAGAAAAGGTTTGATAAACTGACGTCTAAGAATGAGTTGATGATGTTGGAGACATGATACACTCTGCCACAGCTGCGGCTAATGTACAGACCACCACGGTTATCAGCATCACCATCATATCTGCAGAGAGTGGATGTCATGATGTGTTTGAGGGCATCCCGCTTCACAGATGACAGCATGCTGAACAAAGAAGCGGCCTGAAAAAAAAACAACTCAATAAAAATCAGGCACGTTAAAATCGTGGCATTTTAAAACAGGCCGTTTGCCTAAGGGTAACAATCGAAGCGGTGCTATGATAGTATCTAAATTTATCTAACATATGTATTTTCTCGGTCTCGCAAACGAATTTATTTATTTGTTATAAAAATTGAGTTTGCAATTTTTTTTTAAAAAATCAAGAAAAATGGTATTTGTATGTAGCTAAAGCCATTTTTCTCCAAAAAAATCAATTTAAAAAACACAATTTCTAAATTATGGGTATTCTGGTAAGTCAGCGACTACTGTATCTCGTTTTGTTTCCGAACAATTAACATTTTTGCGATGTGTTACTTTTTGCGAAATTTTTTGATCGTAAGATTTTGTTACCTTGATAGCTGCAATTGGATTCTGAATGATCTGCATATTTCTGATTGCTGTAGAGTTTGCGACTCCAGTTTGGAACGAAGGCAAGATTTCAACTGGGTTTCTTGCATTTATTTGGACTGCTCTCCAGAACTTTTTGAGAAATTGAAACTGAAATAAAAATATGCTATTGAACCTGAAGCGAGCCAAATTAGGTGAAAAGATCACACATAAGCAATGTTCAAAGTTTCTCATTTTTGTCAGAAAAATCATTCTCGTCTAAATCATAGCAGTCATTTCACTGGTTTAAGTCTTTAAGGGACAAGAAATTGTTTACAAGACCGCTTGTATCAGGGCGAAGCCCTGAATATCCCGACTGCCTCTTAAGGTCTATAGAGCAGTAATAGCATGAAAAAATTAAACGTAATAAAATAAAACGATTTTTTTATTTGACTTTTTTTTTGTAAAAATCATCCCCCCACGCGTCATGTAAAGTACAAGGTGATAAATTTTGCTCCTAGTAACAAATCAAATATGGGAAATAAGCTTCCTTCCACCAAATTGGAACAATTTCTACGACGGATTAAATCCGCGGAGATCAAAGGTTAAATATCTTTTCAAATTTGAGCTCCTTTGATTGATATTTAAAAATTTTGTCAAAAATGGCTAGTTAAGAAGTCAAAGTTTGTCTGAAGAAAAAAATTACCGCGATCACGATTATTCCGTTATTTTCTTTACGAAAGTCGGAACAAAATTGTTGAAAGTTTGAAAAAAATATTTATAAAAAATCGAAAATTTTTTAAGTTGTTTTTTTGAAAATCATTCCCTCACACGCTATGTAAAGTACAAAGTGATATATTTTGCATATAGCAATGTAATAAATAGACCAAAAAGCATGTCTCAATTTAATTTGGAAATATATCTAAGACAAACTTTTTCTCCGCTGACGCTTTAAGACAGTGGTGATATAATATAACCGGACAAAACGAACATTACTTGAATTTCGAACATGTTTTTCTCATATTGGGTTAAGATGAACAGATCAACAGTTGCCTAGAATTTCATCAGATTTACTATGGTGCATTTTTTCCCAGAAATTTCTAGCCAACCCTTTTGGGTCAATTTTTTTTAATTATGGGTCAATTTTTTTGTTAATTAATCAAGAATTACGCTTAAACTACCAATTTATATGATGAAAAAGTTATATCAAAAAAAGCCTCTTAAACAATACAACAAAGTTCTAGAAAATTAAATTCTCTAAAATGTGTATGGATGAATATACTGCTGCTTGATAGCCAAAAACCATTATTTTTACATCATAAAAATCAAAACCTTTGTTTAAAAATAAAGGTTCAGCGTATTTCCAAATTTAAAAAACTTTTATTTTTCTAGAACTCTATTGGGCTCTGTGAGAGGCTTCTTTTGATATAAAGTTCTTATCAATTAACTTTAAAAAAGTCAAATTGACCCAATTTTGGGGTAAAAAATATTAGTTAGGAATTTCTAGGCATTTTTTGTATAATGTACGCCACTTTGAGAAAGCGGGTTTAAATCAGCGTTTGAACTTTGAAATTATGTTCGTTTTTTTCCGGATAATTTAAATCAGCACTGTGGCACGAAGTATATCGCGCGTTAATTGTCCCAAATTGAACAAATTGGCAATCTCTAAACTCCCGTAACTTTACAAAAAATAATTACAGGTGAAGTTTCTTTTTAAGTTTGAGCTCATGATAACAATTTATTTCAAATGAGATATTAAAAAAAAACTTTCAAAAAGTGCAAGTTAAAAAGTTGCGCTTTGTCTGGAAAAAAATCACCTCGAGCACAAATATTCCGTCAGTTCCTTCAAAAGTCGGAACAAAAACTCATACCTAAATATCCTACCTCTAGGGCGTCGATATGATTGGTTGGTCTGATTGTGTCATACATGGATGTACTTCTATGGATGTTCAGTTGGGTGAAGTTGACAGCCCATGGTTGATTGCTGTAGTGACTCTGCCATGTTTTCAGCAGGAACTCAGACAGACCAATCACAGACCAGTATTCATCCCACCAGTTCAAAGCAAGCACCACGTGAGTGAACTGAAAACCAAAAAAGTTATGGAAGAAAACAAAACCGAAAGGCTTTTGAAAGTTTGGTTTTTGGTTAATGAAAATGATGAAGATTTATTTCAATGATAAATGTTTGTTTTTTGACCTTTTATCATTCTAGCGAATAAATCATTCCTTACATGAAAAATGACAGCTCTGAACAAATGCTGAACTATTTCCTCAAACGGCTTGTTAGATGGGTCCATGATTATGGTCGACGGGAAGCCACTGAGGAAATTGTATTCTGCCCTATTGTACTCTGTGATTGGGTCATAAATGGATTCGTAATGAGAACGGGAGTTTCCTTTGGACTCCGGGCTATTCGGCAGAAAGTGTACATCTGAAAAACAACAATCATTTAAAAATAATCAAGCGCATGCAATTTTATGAGCTGTTTGCACCCGAAATGAAAGATATAGAGCTCATATCATTAATTTCCGAGAGAAAAGACCTCGTATCACTGGAGATACTGTCAAGGCCAAGAAACTTTTGACGGGTAAACTGATTTTCAAAACGATCAAGAACACCCAGTGGTGAGCAAGTATTGGACCCACCACGTTAAGCAAAACTGCGTGAGGCAGAGCAAAACCCTGAATGTTTCGACTGCCTTCTAACGTCCCGATGAAAGAGTGTATGATTTGAAAAATATATCAAAAGTTCAAACAAAAATCGATTCAAAACACGGATAGATGGTTACTCTGCAAGAGTTCTGACGATAGTTTTATAAAAATACAAATAGAAAGTTTTTCAAATTAGTGTCATTTTTTCTGTATGGTGTGATAAAAAGATCGGACACCAAAAAACTAACACAGGCATACTCGACAATCATATTGATAATCAAAGCTTTTCTTTTTGAGTGTTAGTTAATTAAAAAAGCCTTTTCATAATTATAGCAGACTGTAAAAATGAAGAAAAAATTTAAATGACGAACACTCAAAAAAAAAGATCTTTGATGAATGCAAATGTAGCCCTTGCTTGGCGGACTGTTCTCTAAAAAAATATTTTGTAAAATGGTATTTACTTTTAAAAAATCGGCGCGTTACATTCAGATTCTATTTCGTTGTTTGAACAAAAAAATTAGTCAGCAGTTTTAACTAATACTCACTGGAATAAATTTTTTTGTTGAAGCAACAAAATTGAATTAGTAGGTAACGCGCCAATTTTTTGAAAAACCGATTGTTTATAAATCAGAATCAAGGTTTTCACTGAGGGGATGTACAAATTTCATTCTAGCAGGTCCAGTTTATCCAATAATTTGACAACTGATTAAGAGGGCATGCTTTGTTTTCTACTATAATTTTTGTGTTGCAATTGAAGTTCTTAATTCGAATTCAAAGAAAACGACGAAATGTTTGCGTTCAGTGAGTTTTCCTTCAGACAATTTCCGACTTTGTAACTAACCAACTTTGAATGGATTTTCTAACACCCTTTAAAAAAGAATGACTTCCTGAGCTCAGATTTCTTTATCTCAAAAAAATCTTTTACGGTCAATTTTTGCCAAGTTATAGCGGCTTAAAAATTGTCCATTCAGCCCATTCGAGATAATAAACGCGCAATATATTTCGTTCTTTTTAAACATTTAAGTGGCTACCTAACCCGGCTCCATCATTATTCCATATTGGTTTGAGGCAAGTTGTTTTGCTTAAAAATTTGTAATAGAGGCTGGAGACATCATTTTTTATTTTACGGAAGATTTTTAAAAAATCGAAAAGAAATTTGAATTTGGTTTTTCATTCGTTTGAAAATATCATATCATCACTTTCTTTAAGCTTTTTAGAAAGATCTTATTTGAAAACTAAAATAAATTTGGTGTGTGACTTTTAGGCTTAATTCAAGTGAATTTGCCCAATTTGGCTCAGATAAAAAGTATGATTAACCTAATCCGCCACAAGAACATCAATTTAAAAAACTTTTGTCATTGTCATTTGCTTCATTTTTTTGTTTCTTTATGAAAAAGAGGATTTGGTGCTACCGTAACCATATGCGTGCATCTTGTCTGGTATATAAAAAAAAACAAATAGAAACTTCAACCTCTAGAATTTACGCAGATAAATTTCAAGATCGACGAAATCAAAATAACTGCTGAGTTTGCTGCTTTTGGTTAGCACGTTACGAAGAATTTCAGAAAAAAATTTTAAAAAAAATTCTGTTTTTAAAAACTGTCAACCATCTGACGGAAAGTTCGTTTTCGTTTAATGTATCATTCTTCCAATACATCAACTTCGAAAAGGCATCCAATTTTTCACCCAACTCTCAGGTGCCGTGGTAAATAAGGCCGGGTGAAAATTTAGGATATAAACTTATATTAAAATTCTAGGCCATTGTATAACTTCAATATTTAAAGGTCAAGATAACACTGGCTGCATTCATTAGTAAAATTTCCAACAGACCAAATTCATCAACAAGTCGAATAAAAAATGCCTCGATTGCCAACAAAAAATAGCGTCTCAAATAGCTTCAAAATACAGAACGTACAGCCCACTAAAGTCGCATAAATAGGAATCATTCTTGTTAAGAAAGATGGGAGGTGGAGGGGAGGCATCGCTTTTTCAATTAATGGGTATCCAATGTTTTCCTAATTTTCCAACCGATCACTTGGTTAATTTCACCAGTTGGAAAATTAGACTAACCCACCATTAGTTTCGTGAGTCCGCATACACTTATTAAAATTGAAACGATGATCAATTGATGTTTTTAATAAGACCATGTGAATCATTGCTTTACATAAAAGTCGGAGGCTTTTTCAGTTACTCGATTTTAGACTTCGATCATGTGAACAGGTCTTTCTTTTTCAGCCGTCAAGTTGTCTTTCCGGTGTCAATAATATTCTCAGCATAAATTAGCTGACTTCAAGCAAAGATATGAACTTCAAAATCTGTTCGAATTGCAAAATAGTTTTCATTTTTGCAGCGCAGAAATCTCAGAAGATTTTTAATTATTACAAGGATGCTTTAAATTAATTTAGAATTTTTTGGAGGTGGAGGGGATTTTTTGAAAAAAAAATCCATTTTCTTAGGTCAACCAAATTGATTTTCGAGCTCTCTGCAAATTTTATTCAGACCTTGTTTTGCCAAAAGATTTAGGGAATCCAGCGAAAAGTCGAGACAAACAAGTCAGTGAAACCGCGCCTGAGCTTTATGGAAAAAATCGATTATAATGAACAACTGTTATCTAAAATATTGTCATTCACCCCGACAATAAACATGATTTCATTATCTAATCTTGCAACGATAACGTATTGTTGCAAGATTAGATCATGAAATCATGTTTATTGTCATTATAATCGATTACTTCCGGAAAAAAAATCCATTAAAGTATTTTATTATCGGCTATCTTGCATTTTAATCTCACTACATTTTTTTTCACGTAAATCCAAAAGGTTGAATTTAATTTCTGTGCTTTTTGATATTTCTGCAAAAGCCAAAAAATTAAAACTTTAAGATTTTTTAAGGATTAAAATAAGATTCTTCCTCAATACCACCCCACGTATAACCTCATCCTTCCGTCCAACCACTTTCCCGGTCTTCGAAACATTCAAACCTTCATACCTTCCGATGCAAATAACACTCTCACTACTTACCTCTCCCCACGTGTACACAAAATTAGCCTTGTCCACCCTGCTCGCCAACTAGCACACTAACCCTGGGTAAAAGTGATGGGGAAAGTGTAATGGAATATGGGCCGGGGAGGGGTGGGGGTTTTTGTAAATGAGCGGATTTAGGGGGAAGGGGGCAGATCTATCCTCATGGATTCGACCCCCTCACCAACCAAAGGGTGCCCCATTTAATTTGAATGGCAGCGCGCACCAAAAAAGCAATTTTATTGGTCAAATTTTTTTAAAAACCTCTCAAAACACGGTCTTTAAACTACTTTCAGAGAGCTCGAAAAATCAAATTATTCGACCCCAGAAAAAAAGTTTACATGATTTTTTTTCTTCGAAAAACCGCTCCCCTACTCAGAAAAAATTCTGCGCACGCCACTGCGTAGCGCAAAAAAATGATTCCTTCTTGTAATCAGAAACTTGATCTGTTCAGCCTGTGTTTAATTGAACTTTTCGTCTAGTTATTGCTAAATTATAATTTAATAAGCTTTAATTCTACTCACAGGTAGAACGCCCTCCCCAATTAGACAAAAATTTAGTCACTGTTAATTTAGATAAGGGTAAAAAGCATGGAAAGATTAAAGATTTTCTGGAGGGGGGTGAATTTTTAAAACATTTTCTGAAATTTTGAAATTTTGTCGACTTTTTAAAAGGTCGACCAAATTGATTTTCCGAGCGGTCTCAAAATTTTATAAAGACCCTATTTTGACAAGATTTTCTTCTCCTCTTCAAAATTATTGTCTCCCCCCCTAAATACCCGCCCTTGTGATTGTTCATTGTTTTTGATTGTTTGCTCTAATTTTTTGAAACTTTTTGGAAAATGTTGACCAAATATCGCATTTTTTCGGCGCACGCTCCCCCCTTTAAGTTAGTATAAATTGGCACCGAAGACGCCTTTAGAAAAATTTTAGGGTCCGTCACCAAAAATGGATACCTCAAAATATAACAAAGTGGGGACCCCTTGGGTCGGCATCGGCAGGGGGTCGAATCCCTGAGGGTAAAGGGGCATCCGCCACCCCACCCCACTAAATCCGCTTCTGCGTTTGATTATTCTGTGCCTAAAGTTTTTACGGGAAAAAGCCTAGTACCCGATTGCAATACCCTTGCTCATCGCAAGGTTAAAGAATATATAGAATATCTAGATAGGTCATTGACCTGCTGTGCATGGGTGGTTTTTATTTTAATTGCGATGTGTGGCCTGGTGGCCATTGGTTTGTTTTTGACGGAAGTTTGGACGGAAGTTTTTATTTTATCTGAAAACTTTTGATGTCTTGAGCTCTTCGTTTTAATAAAAATACTTTATCTATTTTCAAAAAAGAAAAAACAGGGGATCAACTTTGTCGTTTTTGCAGATTGGAATTGCTATCGCGCAATACACTTCGTGCTAATAACGCGTAAACACCGATATAATCCGGGTCAGAACACGTTCCAAACTGATTTGAGGCATGCTAAATTAATCACTTCACACTTTCAAGCGAAGATGGCGTATGGTTTTCGCATGGCTTACGGCGGATGGTTTTCTATTCTTTTAAATAAGTTTCCCATGTTTAATAACAAATACTACTTCATAGACGTTCAAAGACAGTTAGAAACTTCAGAAGTCACGCAGCATTTTCACAAATCATCAATTACGTTTGCAAGCAGCTGTTGGTAAGAGCAGCTGTTTCAGTAATCTTAAGTCAAGTAAAAATGTCGTTTTGTCTCACATTTTTTTGTGTCTATCTGCCGCAAGTTTAGGTTTTAGCTTGGAAACAAGCATTTACCATTCACTGATTTGTGTCCGTTCACCCACCAAACAAGAGCGCCATCTGCGTTTTTACAGTAAAAAAGTCTGTTTGATATTTCGGAATCTCTTTTCTCCCACTTCAAAATTCACATATGCTTAACCGCTGATTTAGCTCTTTATAAGGGTGGCAATTCGTTACTAGATACCAAGAGGGATAGTTTAAAAGTTCCATTCTTTGTTCTCCTGTCGTTTGAGACTAACAATTCTAAGCTTTTACTAATTTTTAAGGCATGGAGTTTGTTGCAATTAGTCGTATGAGATCGCAGTATAGGCTAGTATATTGCAACTAAACTGTCCTTCCGGTGATAGGTCAACAAGCCGGAAATTAGATAACCATGAACCGAAAAGCAATGTTTTTACGCAATATAATTACAGATTGTCAGTATTGTTTCACTATTCCCGGGTTGACAAAAAATGCTTATCATACTATTTCATATTATGAAAAAAAAAATGCTTATCATACTATTTCATAGACCAAAAAAATAATATGAAAATAGCATGATAAGCTTTTTTTCCATACTATGAAATATTATGATAGTCGTTTTTTCCATACCATAAAGTTGTATGACAAGCATTTTTTCCATAAATGATAATACCAAAAAAAATAGTTGTTTTGAAATTTTGTGTTCCATCCGAAACACTAACCCTGGAGATTTTGTCATAAGAAAACCCAGAGGGTAACTGGCAGATACCACGCAGATAAACTGCACTAGGTGATTTTTTGCCACCTACGTTATTATCTACATTTTCACAAGGAATTATACACTGTGAAATTTTTAATTTTCTCTATATGGCTAGATTTTCTATATTTCCTTTTAATTTTTTCTATATGGCTAGATAACTTTTGGTTTGAAAAATTTGGTAGTTGAGAAAAAAGGCCTGTTTTTTTACAAATTCATTTTTATCTTAGCAAATGAAATAAAAAAATAATAATCGTGTTTACAAAAAAAAACACTTTTTTGGGATTTTTGGATTTTTTGGGTGAAAAACTCATCCTGGACTACGTTATAAACACAAAAAGTCAAATTTTGCATTCAAAATTTTTCTTTGGCAAAAATTTATATTTGAGCACAAAAGCAAGTTTGCAACCAAAGAAGGGATTAAAATTTTTTTACCTCAAATTTGTGTTTTTGTTTCTGAAAAAATGCATATCATACAATTTTCATATATGAAAATTTTATGATAACCATTTTTTGATCAAAATTAAAATCATGTTTTTGAAAGTCAAAATGCATTCTTTCAATAAATTTTTTTAAACTCATGTAAATTCATCCAGAAACATCGTTAAAATAATTTTGAAGATTTTATTTTTACTATAGCAAAATGCTTATCATACAATTTTCATATATGAAAATATTATGATAAACATTTTTTGACCAAAATTAAAACCATGTTTTTATTGAGCAGAAAGATTCAAAAGATAGAGATAGAACAAAAGTATTTCTCTAAAAACGTTTAATACAGTTTTTAAATTGTGTGTGAAAATTGTATGATAAGCATTTTTTTCATAGTCGCCATATATGAAATTGTATGACAAGCATTTTTTATGGACGTCAACCCGGGTTGTTGCGTAACTCTGATGTAATTTCGGTTTCAAGGTCTGGCGGTTTGTTGAACGTAGTCTATTTTCCAAGTCTCCTTGATTCAGAGACCGTCGCTTTACTTTGTTTTGCATTCATGGATTCTGGCAGAATTTTTTTTTTCGACGCAATTCTGGATAGCAGCTGCTGGTAAGGGGCGTTTATTTCAGTATGCTTAAGTAAGATAAAAATTTAAGCTGTACTAAATCACCACTGTTTAAGCTGTATTAAATCCTTTGTCGATCTATTTGAATCTTTGATTGAAGCGTATCAGCAGTATTATGGAAATGATCTGTTAGTGATATTGATGGCCGTACCAACTCCATGTCAGCAAGCATTGTCCTTTTTCCCATGTGAGGAGGTAGGGGCATTATTCATATCTTCACATAATCGTGAGCCTTCACCTTGATTATCAGACATGCAATTTCAATCAAATGTCGCTTTAGGATTCTTGCTAGTGCGTGCAGTAACTCTGGTTGTAGAAGGGCTCTTAAGTTCCCATTCCGAGTCGCAACTAAGTGACATTAGGATCGTTTTTTGTTGTTTCTTTGCATAATATTTTCGATGCGACAGGTTGAACGGCCCCAGTTCCCGCTGAGCGCACAACAGTTTTCGAAAAATTTGTAGTTATGATTATCAAAACTTACAGATCGAATTCACGAGAAACCAGCTTATCCATAACTGCTTTTACGGCCTAGGAATTCTTTCTTATTATTGTGACGAACAGACAAGTCAGGATAATGGAGCTCAAATTCAAGAATAATGACTAATAAATTTGGCGTTTTTGAGAAAAAAAAGAAATGGCTCAACTTTTGCCTCATAATCAAGAGTTTATTCATTTTGAATCGACTATCAGTTCTGCTGTTTAATAACTTCCAGCCTAGACAATTGGTTTTAAAAGCATGAACTACATAAGTTTCGTAAACAATTAGACCTTAAAAAAGTGTAGACTCACGAATGTAAAAGTTTGGGTATTGGAGACTGAGTTGTCTCTGGCAGAACCACACGAGCTGTAGGATGACGTCACAGAGAGGCTGCTGCAGGAGCAGACTCACACCAGCACCGCCACCAGCCCCACTTGTGCCACTAGAGGGAAACAGACTGGAAGCACTCACCCCTGTCCCAACCAGAGCCACCTGGATTGGAAACAACAAGAAACATACACAAAAGTCCTACAGATCCTAGGAAATAAAAGTCCTTCCGGCCGTTTCGACTTTATGACCAGGCATTTGCAATTATATGTCCAAACTTTCGTCACTTAAATTCCGGTTTTATTTTGGAGAGAAACCCAGAAAAAAATAAAAGTTTGCTGAGATACTTGCTTGTTCAGAAAAATTTATGACGCCGCGCTTGGGGAACGTTTGTTAGTTAAACAAGCGGCATCAATTTAAATGGCTATTTTTGTTTTTTCAATTTCCGTCCATTTGAATATAATTACTTGAGAGTGATTTGAGATGAGTAAAAGCAGTATTCAAAATGATTTTCGGCACTGTTGAACAATATTTTGATTTTCGGCACTATTGTACTAACCCCTTTAGTTTTATCGTAAAGTCCTTACGTTTAACGCTCTGTTTGCACATTAATTGAAGTGAGAGTGTAGTTTTCATTCAATATAGCAATTGAATTTGACAGGAAATGGAAACAAAAATCGAAAGTCAAACTGCTGAAAAATAATTTTCTCAACAGTTTTTTCTGATAAAAACCTGGGAATAAAACCTACAAAACATAAGGCTTCGCCCTGAGATTAAATGACTGTGGTAGCTTTTTGGCAAAAACTTCCAGAAAAAACGGCAAAAGTTTGGGTAGCTATCATTAAGCGAACCAAATTGTCTGCTTTTAACATACTTTCCGGAAAAAGTGGGTACATAACGTCTTTAAATAAAGTTGAATAACAACTATTGAAACACCTTTGCCAAAGTTCTGAACATAAGAAAAAAAAACTGGAACTATGCACATAACCATGGGCTGATTTTACTAAATTTTGTGTAAATATTTGCAGTTTTTTGCAAAATTATGCACTAAAATTGCACTTTTTTAAGCATCAACCGCTGTTCACGGAGATTTTTTTATTGCTTGATAAATCATAAAATTATCAATCTTTAAATTCCAGTCTGAACATTTTTTGAATGATAGCGTAGCATTAAGACATTGATATATATTGAACACAAAGATTTGATGTTTGTTGTCAGAACACTGTTTCGTAGTAAAGAAAGTTGTTTGGATCAATTTTAATTATTAATTCATTCAATAAGAATGTGTAGAAAATATTTTTTTATTTAAATGCTCGATATACGTGGTGGACACCTTACGTTACTGTTACGAATTTTGATTCAAACGAGACAGCCTGTGTATCAGTGCAAAAAGCGGATTATTGATCCGACTTTTGATGCGAAAGTGACGGAGTATTTGTGCTCGAGGTGGGTTTTTTTTCTTCAGACAAATTTCGACTTTTTAACTAGCCTTTTTGACGGATTTTTCTTATATCATTCAAAAGGTATTGTTGTCTTGAGCTTAAATTTGAAAAGATATTTCACCTGTGATTGTTTTCCGTATTGTTATGGGGGATTAAAGATTGCCATTTTGGCCATTTAGGGACAATTAACGCGCGATATAATTCGCGCTATTAACGCGTAAGCGGAGATTTAATCCGTCTTAAAAATTGCTCCAAATTGGTTGAAAGAAGCTTATTTGCTGCAATTGATTTGTTGCAAGGAGCGAAATCTATTGTTTTGTACTTTATATGGCGTGTGGGGGGATGATTTTCATAGAAAATTTTTTTACTGCTCCATAAACCTTAAAGGCAGTCGAAACATTCAGGGCTTCGCCGAATAGTTGTTGCGAAAGAAACAATTAAGAAACCATAACTTTAGGTAATATCAAAGTTCAAGTGAAAAAATTTGATTAGTACGAATTTTAGACCACCGATTATGTTGGCTCAATTCAAGTTGTAACGATTTTGTAGTTCGATGTAGTTCGCATAAAAAATTTGTCTAACACTTTCAGCCTCATAAATAAAATCTTCAGAGCGCGCATAAAATATTCCAGAGCATGGACAATAGGGCAATTTTCAATCCCCGATAGTCTTCAATATTTTTTTGTTTTGAGCTAAGCAGTTAATAGGTTCAATGAATTATAAATTAATTTTTGCTTACAACTACTATTTTGATAGCAGTAGACACTGATTCACTTGCGCAAACCACTCTACCTAGCGCAGCGGATCGATGCGGAAAAAGCGTTTCTTGCTGGTCGTTGAGGCGTATGAAATCATTGTTGTCTGGAAACAACATCGCCTGAAAGCTTTAGCCTCTCCTTCTCAAGGTCACTCAGTATATTACTATCAGTTCCCTTCGAGAAACATTGAAGTAGCTGGAAAAATACACCATGTTTTAAAGCCGTTTCTCATAGCTCCTCACCTTAGGCGTATGTTCCAGCCTTGACCGGTTGTGTGGTCCTGCGTAATGGTAACTGTAGGATTGGTAGGAATCTGGCACTATGATCATTGACAACATGTACGTCGGCATGGGCACAGAAAATAACTGATCCACTGTGCCTCGTCTCACAAAGTCACTAGTGCTGATTTCATAATCTGAGAACAGTTTCAAAGACAAATTGTGAGCCAAACTTATTTTAAAAGTTTGGAATTTTTTCAAAAATTTTTCAAAAGTTTGTACCACTTTTTAGAAACTGAAATCAAAATAGTTCTTGAAATCATATAACTATTGGTGTTTATTTATGCATTGATTCCAAATGGATAAAATTGACAGGGCGGTAGAAATTAGACAACAAAATTTATTGAAGCCATTAAGTAGATACCGATTTTGGTCTGCATGAACACTTTGTAGGTTGAGTCGTGTTGGATGATGACTGAGAAGTTGGATCTGAATCTGGGCTCATCTAGGCATGCGAAAAGAGAGCGCAGGTTGGCAGGAAAAGCACGCAGGGCGAAGATATGTCTGAAAAGTAACAGTCTTTATTATTCATTACCAATATTAACTAAATTTACAACAAACTAAATTTACAAATAAAAATAAAGCTTTAATGTCCAAATATTTTTTAAATTTTAATTGAAATCTAGAAAATATTATCACATTTAGTATCCGGAACTTCCCGATGCTTTTGTCTGGGTAAAAAAGTCGCCTTGTGTTTTTTTGAAGCTTAGAAAACAAAAATGGCAACCTTTGTCGAATGGAGTGAGACATCGTGCCAACACTCGCAAAAGACTCTTTTGTGTGATCGAATACAGACTCAGGTCCCATCAACTCCGCCGAAATAGGGAGGGTCAAATTGTATACACTCCCCACTCTCAGGACAGACCGGGTAGTCAACACCAGAAACTCGTGGGTGGGCACCCAAAACACCTGGTCGATTGACAGGGGCTGATTTGAGTCCAGATGGAAGAGCGTTATTTGGGATACAAACAGGTCCTCTGGTGAAATTTCAGGAGTTCGACGAGGTCCCTAAAACACGTTGTCTTAAGTAAACGTTGCCAAAATAAAACAGAGCATCTGGCGAACTTATGATTCAAGGGAAGAGTACTCAACCGCCACCACCCATCACCGCTCTCATAATGTACATTGCCGCTGGATTCCTTTATCGAATAAAAAAACTGAGAGACAAATACATAAGCATTACTAGACATTGGTTTATTTTTTGTTATTAGCTTCCACATGCAGTACACAAAATTTCAAAAAAAATTGTGGGCATTAATTATCTATTTTGACCCGTCGGTTTTTTCCAAAAACTTGCCTGCCAAGCAGTAAAGTTTTGGCAAAATGTTGAAAAGAAGTTTGTTAGCTGAGCTATTTATCTTTCCCTCAGCCTCACATCGTATTTTAAATCTGTAAAAACCTAACGAGAAATTTGTTGAACCGCTGAAAAAATAACGAAGTCATGAAAAATACTTTTCTTGCCACTCACAAAAATAATTTAAATCCTTCAACTAGGACCACATTTCTGAGCAATATACTTAAAATTGAAATCACAATTGAGCTTGTTCACGAGTTTCTTGTTTGTTCCGACCGCTGAAAAAATGGAGGAGCTTTGTATGCGGGTGTGTTTTAGTTTTTGTAATCTTTTTTTGTTTTCTACGCACAGTCAGATACCACGAATAATCATCGGAATGGTTCGAAAGTGATAAATGATAAGGAAATTTTTTGAGCCGTGACTCGAACAATGTTAAAAAATTCCAAAAAGCTTTTGCCCAGTGTCGGGAAAGTTCTGTATGAATTTCGTGACTTTTATCAAAGTTCCAGCTAGCTAAGGACGAGCGACTGAGTTTCGATTTTTTTTCAGCTCAATAAGTCTAGGTTCCTCATTTGTTTTTGCGAAACGTCAACTTTGCATTTAAATTAAAATTGTTAATGGGACTTCCTCTTTACAATTTTTGACAACTACTCAATACCTTGGGCAGATTTGTGGACATACACACGTGTTTGGTTGATTATCTCAAGTTTCACAAACGTTGATTGTTCAAAGATTACAAAATCGGGCATAAAATTTGTAAATAATGAGCAAAAATTTGATTCAAATAATTTATTTCGAAAAAGTGCTGTAAAAAGTTTGAAAAGATTCTAGGTTGAAAACCTTGAAATCAACATTGCTCTAATTCAATAAAGAAATGTTTCATAAATGTTTTTGGCAAGCACAGAACATCGATAGAAGGCGAATTGAAGTCATCCTCCCACTCTCACAGATGTGCGGTGCTGTCTTCCAAAAATGACGGTTAGAGGAGTAATCACCCTGCACCTAGCGCCCATGAATCATGATTGAGCATATTGTCAATTAAATATCAGTGTCTATAAAAGTATTAAAAAGATCAATTATAATCCATTAAAAGTTATGTCCTAATATTTTATAGTGAATATAAATCATTAAAGTCAACAATAAATCTTTTATAAAAGATTTTTTGGGAAAATATTATTGAATATTACAATTTTGTTTTAAATTTATCTCATTTCTTTTTTAGTACAGATGCTGCATATATGGTTCCCAATTGACATACTTTTCACGTCTAAAATTTTACATATATTACACGTAGATATTTTTGTCAAATTTCAACTCATAACAGTTTTATCATTTTTTTGTTTCAAAACTTCTTCTAATGACAATATAATCCACTTCTTGGTCTAAAATTTACAATTGTAAAGGATTAGAATGGAAATCTTATGTATCGGATATTCGCTGCTCTTATACTCGGCACGAGTGATATTATGTACGTGATTCAGTCTTTGTGATACTCTGGTTTTCAAAAAAGATCCTGTAGTGTTGTTGACGGTTACATATAATTTTGCCCCAAGTCAACTTGTCCCAGCCCAATTTGTCCAATTCCAACTTGCCCCAGATGACAACTTGTCCAATGCCATCTTGTCCCAGATAAAAAAGAAAACTTGCCCCAAATTTTTTGATATGCTCGTAGAACATAATGTCGGCATAAAAATGAAAGAAATTTTTGTTGAACAATTAAGCTTGAAATAAAATGCGGAACCATTAAAACATGCGCTGTATCAAAATGAGTTCAAAGCATGCATGAACAAAATGAAAGCGAAAAAATTTCAATGCAATTTCCATTTCGAGTTAAATATTTCAAAAGATTGATTGCAGATTTTGTATGCCCCTATAGCACAGTTAATAACAAAAATAGAAGAAGTCAAAAAATTTTAGTATGAAATTGATGAAATGGAAAACCGCAGGTACTGCATCGCCTCTAAAGCCCCCCTATACTGGGTAACCCAGAATAGGGGGCGGGAAGAGGGAAAGAACAAAATTTTTGCAGTATTGGCCTTTATCATATCTCAAAACTTGAACCCTGTACGATGGCTATAAGTTAAAAAAAGTGGTGACGTTATAAAAATAAGTTTCAAATGCGAAAAACAAATGCCGACAATTAAGTGGAAACTATGCCAACAATTTAAAAAGAGTTAAATGAGCTAGTGTGTATAAATAGTCAACAAAATGGTCTATGTTGAAAGTACTAGAAATGATTTGAATTTTTGCATGAATGTCCCGATATTTCTTCCGCCCTTGATTCTGCGCTCCCCCCATAGCCTTCAAAATGTTGAACTTCTGATTTATTGAGTCCATTTGAATCTTATCCAAGAAGATGTAGAGGCTTGGGTGGCTCCCTTGAAATAATTCTGTCACTCCAAGATGCCAACCTTCAACGGCGTTTGTCGTTCATTTCAAGCCTTCCGCTGCTTCTTGGGAATGGTTCCAGAGACTCATAGGGAATAACGATTGCCTGCTGTTTCGCTCTTTTGTTTGCCCTTTATATAACTTCTCTGAAAGTATGAGGCAAGTTCGTCAATTTTATCTGACAGGCTTCGCTCATGATCTAATTGTCCACCACGTGCTCAATCTCCTCAATGACGCTCTCGATTGGTTGTTCCACTAAATCAGTTGGAACAAAACTAAGAGCGGGTTTTGATAGCAGTGCCAAGCTTAGCTCGCAGTTATTTTCATAGGCTTTCTTTAAGCCTAGCTCGTTAGTTTTGCGTAAAAAGGCCTGGCAGAGGTGAAAGTAACAGCCTTTGATTGAAGACTCTGGAAACGCACTTGTAAAAGCGTTTACGGCAGCTTTTTAAAAATCTAGAAGGATCCTCGATGGTTGCGCGTTATCAGAGACAGACGCGATGGCTTTCAGGAATTTTAAATTCGTCTGTTCAGTTTTGTTTGGCAGTAGAGCATAAAAGCATGGTGGGTAAAATCCACCGATTTGAATGTGTATGGTATAAAGCTGGTAAAATTGCATTGGGCAAATTTTGAATGTACCGTCGCAAAGTTAAAGAGAATTGTGAACTCTTAAGGCATGAACATTATCTCGATCACCGAAAATCAAAATTCGCTCAGGATCCATATCTCCACTGTCCAATAAACAGAAACCAGAATATTCCGTCTGAATTAAAAAATGCCTGTCTTTAAGAATTGGCACGGACGGGACCACGTTCTGTTTCTGGCGGTTAAGAGTTCTGTTTATTGCTGCACGACTGGGCAAGGATAGTTGAACAGCTTTCTCATCAGTTACTTCCTGGAGACAAGTGGCAATTGTACTACTATTAACAGGTATAATTTGCTACCTGGCCTCTTTTTTCATTTGATGCATGATCGTGTTTGCCTCAATTCTCCCAGGTCTAACATCGTGGTTGTGCTCGTTTTTTGTTGAGACGAGTTCATCTCCTGCTGTGATGGCTAGCATGCAGCATTTGTGTGAACTGTATCTTGCGCATCTCCGGTGCTCAGTAGATTTTGTCGTTTGTTTTTTTGTGAAATCGTGTCCGTCAATAATTAGCGTTCGTTTATTTTGTTGCGATATTCCCCACGTAAGGTGACTCATTGTATTTATGTTGGATGTTTAAGATCGAAATGGTAAACATTGAGCAAAATGATCGAAATGGTAAGCAAAATGAAAGAATAGCCGTGTTTCATTTTGTTTTAAAGGCGCTAATTGAGGATTATTGTCGAAGTTTGGCGTGTAATTACCAAAATTTGTGGTTTTTCAGGCTCAGCTTCGAATATTTTCGATTATAGTTTTTTGGTTATCTCAAAACGAGTCCAGTGTACATTAGCACTTGCTGGTCCTCAATTTGAACATCAAAGAATCAAGTAAAAGTGTTAAGTATTGGACAAAACGGCATAGGACAAAATGTCATGTGGGGCAAGTTGGCATAGGACAAGTTGCCTTGTAGGGCTAGTTAGTATAGGGCAAGTTGGCATAGGGGCTATTGACTTGGGGAAACAGTCCTGACACCTTGTTGACACACCGTGAGATATTTGTCTTGATTAGGAAACTAGCCCCAAAATCAGGGGTGGACCTTGAATTTTAAATTTTATTGAGGGATAAAGAGCGGACTTTAAAAAACATTTCAAAAAAATGTTAATTTTTTCTTAATTTGATCAATTTAGTTTTATGATTTTTGCTGAAACACCATGATTTGACAAAACTTTTCCCGTCGGTTTTTTTACGGCACTTGCTCATCCTCAAAGTTAGTATACATTGCCGCCATAGGCTCGTTCAGGGAAACTCTAGGATAAGTCGGCCGAAATGGATGAGGTAAAATAGTGCAAAATTGGGGACCCTTGGCTTATGACGAAAGGTCGATTCGGTTTTCATTTTTATGCCAAAAAAGCCTGCTAAAAACTGGGCCCCTGTTATGACATAAAAATTGCACCGAAGTTATGAGATCAAAACAAGGAGGGCGGTTTTTTGCAGACCATTTTTATTCACAATTTTATTGGGGAGAAAACAGCAAATCGTATTAATTTTTTTCGGTGACGCTAATTGAAAATGACTAAAATTTTCAATGACATTAATTGAGAAAACTTTTTTCAGTTTTTTTTATTATGCAACGCCCTCGATCAAGTTCCAGTTCCGCGCCTTAGACAAACTGTTCAATACAACACAGAACCCTAAATGCAAGCATGTCCTATTTTTAGATGAAGCCGCCCACATTGTGGCATGAAC